AACCGAAACCTGAAGTAGGTTAGTAGGGATTGCTGCACATGACGAATATATGGTTAACGGGGCACTGTTCTGCAATATTTTAGGGGAACAGGCCCCGTTAGGTATTCGTTCTGAGCAACCTCAACGCTCAACGTTTCTTTCAATGTGAATTAAATCACCTATTTACATGGCAACACATCATAACAAAAACAACATTGAAAATTGATGTTTCAACACGTTAAAGTTGAAATTTGAAAAATATTTCCAACCTGGAGGGAATTATTCCCGAAATGTGTGCCAAGTGTGGAAAACCGTTTCCTCATGAAAAATAACATTTCCATTAATTGTACATCGATATCGATGAAAATTTTATCCAACTTGCAGTATTGCTATTGCATGTGTCAACGTTATTTTTTCATACCATCATTTGTTGCTAACTTTTCGGGGCCCGCTTTGGTGTATATACAATGGTGATTCCAAAGAATAATTAATGTATATACTGGTTGGGGTTACGTTGCTGGAAATTCCCGTTGCTAACTTGATTCCAAACATTTTCTAATAAACGGCACAATTTTTGATACCGAGGTAGGAATGTCAATTTTGTTTTTTACAAGCATTCCTTAGGTTAAGGCGATCCTGTTAAACTACTTACTATGCCATCGGGGTGATCAAAGTTTTGAATATACAGCAAGGTTTTCCACCAGTTTCTCTCACAAGCGCCAGATGCTCGTCCAACGATTTCGGACCACAAGGGTCCGGATCCCATATGCTTCAATAAGAAGACATAAACAAGAATAATGACACCCAGCGTTGGTGTCAATCTAACGTATCTGTGAATGTAAAACGCCAATAGATTGAACTTCCCTAGCTTGCCTGTTTTTCTCATGAAAACATAGGACAAAGTCAATCCGCTCAACAAAAAGAAAGTATTGACCGAAGCCTCGGATCCAGTGGCCACTATACCCTGTGTAATATGCGTTGCGAAAAACTAAAATAAGAAAAAGGAATTTAGAAACCTTACTTATTAGAAATTACCTCCCCTTTGTAGTTATTCCTTTGTGGCAAAGTATAAGCAAGCATATGGTGATGCGCTACAATGACCCATATCATCGTTAACACCCGCATTCCACGTAAACAGGTGATCTCAGTTTCGTCTGTGGTTATATCAAAAAGCCTCTTGGCGTTTGTGTAACAGGAAAAGGAAACCAATAACCAATGCGAAGGCTCTAAAACAATCACGAATCGTTATGAACGTTAAAACTTCTTTAGTTACCAACCCTTGTTCAGATGTTGAATTACTATGTCATAAATCGTGGAGAATATTACCCATAAAATCCAGAGAGTAAAAAAAGTTCTACAAATATTTGTTTTCAACATTAATCGCATAGGAACCATACATACAAAACAATTTTGGTTCCAACGTCTAATTGGAAATGAGTTTTTTTAGTTTGACAAGAATCCTCCGATACGGATACCATTTTGCTCTTCTTATAATACTTTGCAAATTCTTTGCCCGTGCACGCACTTGGTATGCAGATACCAATGGTGATATCCTCAAAGGTAGGTCGATCCTAAAAGCTTAGTGCTAACAACTGATCATATTTACATTACAAACTGTGCTATTCATATTAGGGAAAAACTATCACATCTTTCTTGATAAGTATGTGGCATTCCAACCAGACATATTCACCTTCACGGATGGATCTAAAACGTCCGTATCATCCAACCACTAGGACAACTTCCTAACGTATTCCAATGAGAGTTGGTAGGACTAACATTCAGTGCATGAAGTTCTTAAGCATAACATAAAGAATAAAGCTATACAACTTCAAGTGACAGCAGGGTTGGTTGGTTTGGTATTTAGTATACACTCAAGTCGGCTAAATGGAGGACTAGACAAGAATCCGATACTTACCATACTCGGTTGCAAAAACGTAAACAGTTTACCAAGGCAGTATTTGCCGGAGATTACAGTTTCTGGTGGACCTCCAGCGATATTTATACACTGGTCAAAAGATCCCAGTGAGAAAGAGTTGCCGCCCACATTCGCCGTTGGATACTTTCCGGACGCGTCATGCACTAAAACCGTAGGTATATGATAATTGCCACTGGACAGGGCAGTAAGTACTTACTTTCTACTGCCCATCGCTTCATATCCAAGAGATCCGTGACATAGTTAGATAGCTGTTGCGAACAATTTTTGGAGAAACCTTCGAAAGTTAGTGTACTTAGTTGAGGGGAAAAATCGAACACTTCCAGTTTTTCTCTTGGTACAAGGGCTTCCACAAGATATAGATGTAGTAATAGGCAAGCAAAAACACGTGAAGTATGCATTGCGATCTCAAGTCGTTGTGAACAAAATTATCGAATTGCCTGTAATTGATATGTTTCTTTATCAATTAGTGTCAATACCTTGAAATTTAAGTGTTTACCGATTTAGTTTCGGGTGAACAACGTGAAATTCGTAAATTTCTCATTGTTTAAAGACAGATCTTTTGAATTTGCTTTTATTAATTAATATAATACGGATACATTTTAGACAATGCAAGAAATAAAATTTATTGTTATGTTCATAATAATTAATTCAGCCAACTTGAATATTGTAGTTGTAGTAATTGGACAGCATTGTAATCGTACGAAAAACACTTGAACCATTTCAGGATAATGGCAATGATAAATAATATGAAAACTTGTATTTTCAAAACTATGGGCTGTGGGATAACGTCACATACTATTCTTGGCATCATTTTTTTTGTAATGATTTAGAAGAAGGCCCACGTAGAGTACAGATCGGTACGTTTGTAAAGACAAACTGACCAAAGTAGGTAATAAAGAATTTCTAAAAATATCCTTAAACCCATGGAAAATATCTCAGGGGGAGCAAAGCTCATGTAATTTATTAAATTTATTACGGAAGCATAATATTTTACTACAGCAAGGGCTCACATTTGAGACGAATGGACATCATCCACGCTTATGGGATTGAAATAGCGACATGTGATGTTCGTAACAGTCCATATACACTGCTTAACCAACGGTAAATTTCCGTTACCGTTTCCCATTCTCAATTACGTTACAATAATTTCGCTTTTAACAAACGATATTATAGAAACCAATTTCCAAATAAAATTCAAAGGGCCGTAACTTTTGAACTAGTAGCCCAATCTCGGAACTGTTGGAAATTGTGGATTCTACAGGCCACATTCTATAAGAAAATTATTTTTCCGGGTCGATCTGAGACAAATTTTTGTTTTTTTTTGCCAAAAATGGACTGCACCAAAATTTCTCGGGAAAACACTTTTTCTTATTAATTTTGGTGCGTAGAATCCAAAACAATTCGTTCTTTTTCGATCAGACTTCTCAATCAAAAGTTATAGACTAGAAACCAAATTCGAAATAAAATTCAAAGGGCCGTAACTTTTGAACTAGTAGACCAATCTTGGAACTGTTTAAAATTATGGATTCTACAGGCCACATTCTATAAGAAAATTTTTTTTCCGGGTCGATCTGAGACAATTTTTTTTTGCTCCTCAAAAAAAGGCAGTGTATAACCTTCCTTTTTGCCAAAAATCGACTGCACCAAAATTTCTCGGGAAAACACTTTTTCTTATTAATTTTGGTGCGTAGAATCCAAAACAATTCGTACGTTTTCGATTAGACCTCTCAATAAAAAATTATGGACAAAAAACAAATTTCGAAAAAAAATTCAAAGGGCTGTAACTTTCATTCTAGTGGCCCAATCTTGGAACTGATTGAAATTGTGGATTCTTCAGGCCACCATTCTATAAGAAAATGTTTTTTCCCGGTCGACCTCAGACAATTTTTTTTCCGGCCTCAAAAAAAGGCAGTACTAAGTTATTCAAATATTTGAGAACAATTTAGAAATGTTTAGAGAAAGTTTCCATTGTCACAAAATCAAATATAAAAATCCGATACATCTGAATACCGAACTCGATAGTCTACGTAATTTAAAAACAATAGGGACCTTTCTTATATCCTTAAGACCATATGTACCAATTTTCAAAGCGATCGCACGTTTCTAAACAATTATGCACACGGACAAACGGATGGTCAAAAATGGATCTGTTCCAAAATCGCTAGGATTTATTTCAGAAAGGCGTACGTATCATGTGCACGACGTACGATCGCTTTGAAAACTGGTACACGTATTCTTAAGGATTAAACTGGTTTAAGAAAGGTCCTGGTAGGTACCTCCTATATAATAATAATAATACGCTTTTACTCCCCTTCAATTTGTATATAACAATAGAAATATAAAAAAGCTAACTCCATACAAAGTATAACTTTAAGTAGTATTAAGCATTTTATCTGGTATACTATTTTAAATTTTTAATGTATTTGAGTGACAAGTATTTGAATACTTTTTACTGTATTCGAATACTTTTCAAAGTATTCGAATACTTTGTATAGTATTCGAATACTTTTTGAAAGTATTCTGCCCAGCTCTGGGATCCGTTTAATGAAGGGGTTTCCACATCAAATAATCTTATCTTGGTAGTGCGGTTTCCCTCACTTTCGAAACATGGGGTAGGTTGCTTCAGTCTACCGGGGTCGGGGGGTGACTTTACACTCTAGCACAACTCATAGCTACGTGCTACGTTTCTGATGAGCGTTTCCAAGCAAAACTGTTTGCTACTCTTCCTCACTCAACCCACTATACAATCACAAACAGCCATGCCTTTACCTGGGATGCGAACCCAGGACCCTTGTAGCCAAAGTTAGAGCTTCTAACGTAAGTTCATCTGAGCTACGCAGGTTACTTACCTAATCGCCCTTAACACATGAAATTTTACGGTCTTTAAATACACATTGTAATTTTGAAATAATCAAAAGGTGTACATCCATTTTACTTAAATAAAATATACCCCTTTATGCTTAATACTCTGCTAGAACCCAAAACTCTTATAAAAGATATTTATCAAGCTTTGCCTTGGGATGCGTAATTCCTTACATATAAGGCTTGCTAGCCGAATTTAATTCAACTTGAGGAAGCCCTTCAGTGATTCTAACATATCTCGTATGGCAGCTATAAATACAAACTTTGAGTAAATATTACTCCGAAAATAATTTAGTTATTTGGACTCTAATTTTACTTTTCTTGAAGTTGTAATTGTATTTCTATAAAGTTTCAGTTTAAGGTGCTCCGAAGTTTGCGAGCTTGCAAAGCTTAACCTTAAAATCCGAAATAACTTTAACTGGAATGTCAGAAGTTTCTACGTCCCTTTTTTTCTTCTTATAGTAATCTTCTTGTACCCATATCACAAAACTTTCATTTCACTACATCGGACAGAAGCGCCGCGTGTTTTTGGGGATTATTCTGAAAGATACCCTTCTTTTAGAGATTAGTTTGTATATTATTCATATCATTTGAGAGAGGCCCGCTGACATTGCGATAAATCGACAGATTTAGGGTAGTTCAAGTAAAATTTACATAGTGTAAGTAAAGTTTATCAAAGGGAAATGGAATTGCGGTGGATGGTAGCAGGTGCGTGTAAAGGTGGAACTAATGGATGGTGCGAGGTTACCATTTGGCGCGCTGATCGTTTACGTCTTACTTCTGCTTCCTCTTCCGGTTTCGTTAATGGATGATCAAACTTGAATATTGAATTTGCCTTGTAACATACTAATAGTAGGTAGTAACCTAATCTGCAATCGATTTTTGCACTTAATTACAAAATGATAATTTCTCGCCCAATCCTCCACGGAAATTTAAATAAAAGAAACGACAAAGGGATGGAACTGAAAGCAGTCGATTACAAAAATAGCAGAAATGATTTTCCTACAAGAATGTTTAATTCCCGGCGTTCTGATTAAATTGTAATCGTTTCTTCAGTTCAACGAATAATTTATTAGACATTCATTCATCCCCAAAATTGTAAGGTAGAGTAATTTGTAAGTCATATCGTACTCAATATTTAATAATGTCTCCTACTGTTTCTGATTTCCATATTAAATAAGCTACAGAAGTTTCAACTTAAAAGATTCCATTTACCCCTTTAATAATTTCGACACGTTCTGAAAAGCCATTATTCATTGCTTTTCGTTTACCTTCAATTGTGCGTACACTTTAGAGGAGAAAGGCGGCTCAATATTTCTTTCGGGAAGTGAGCGCAGCCCGCTTTAAGTGCGAATTACCCGAAATGATAATTAATTAGTACATTAAGAATGGAAGGGAACTAATCTTATATGTCGCCTTATACTTTACCTGGTATGGTACTAATTCCATTTGTTGTTAATTGTCAGATTTGTACGAATAATATAATATTCAAATGAAGTATGCTATTTCCACAGCGTGACGCCTTTAACTTTAAACAAAACGGTAATTGGTATAATGATCTACGGTAACAGAATATAATTAGTAAAAGCCTTGCTATAATGTCTAATGCGTTTGAAACATTTGCGAATAATCTCGATTATATTCTGTCGAGTTGCGTTTATTACGTACGGCGCAGGTCATATTGGTTTTCTAATAAAATAATTGCGGAATGATGTACTGAGGTAAAATTTACTATTGCTCGTATTAATACCTAATATACTATTCCGGAAGAAGGACAGGAATGGTCAGTTGAAGTTTCCGGGGTCCTGAAATGCTCTTTTTACATTTGACTGATGCAGTAATTTAATCAAATCAAGCACTCCAACAGAAACGCAACTTTCTGTTCTGCTTCATAATTTTCAATTATGTCAGAGATTAAATACCAACAAAACTTGAATAGTTTGTTTTCATTCCCGTACGTATTAATTATTTTTGGTTCATGGTCACTGCATTAATTGTTTGAGATTCTCTGATGTTACTTTTTAACGGAAAGTGGCCTCACTTTGCTACGAACTTGGGGTAGTTCGCGTACAATTGGTAAACCCATTGTTAATTGGAATGGAAATCAACCGGCCAGATCGGCTTTATCGGGCTGGTAACGGCTAAACCTCCTTGGCCTTGCAGTTCCCACTCTCGCTTTAATTTAGCATAGGAAAAGACACCTGCTAATTATGGCTGAAATTCTAAAATATTAATTTGCCCTCTTCTTGTAAGTGACAAGACAATCTTTTGGGGAATCTCAGTATCTCTTTGAAATTACTGCTTTTTTTACATACATGTAAAAGCTCTTAACGACCCATGGCATCTCTTAGAAGCCCAAGTCTTGAAAATAAAGGCGTTTTAAAAACTGTAAAGCATTTAAAGCGCTCTGGTGACTCTTGGAGATCTCGTAAATGTTAAAGACCTTTAAAATCTGGTAGAGGTCCTTACGCAGCTACAATTACTACCAAAGATTCTTTGTGATAGTTATAAGTTTCGGCTTTCAAACACTCTAAGTCT